TTGCGGGGTGAGGAAAGTTTTGATGATGAGGATGACAAGTACTCCTCAAATTTTGCCTGATCGAATTCGTATTCGATCTCTTCGTTGACAACGATCTTGATCGGTTGCGACACCGCGGCCTCGGCAGCGAGGCCGCTGGCTCCCACTGTGGTCGCCAGCTTGTTTGAGTCAATTTGATTACAACAAATTCGAAAGAATAATCTTTCTATAAGATTTTTTCTACACAACAAAGCGAAAATTACAACTTTTGAGAAACAAACACAAAAATCGTCTATCGATCTTTGTTTTCGTGGGACTTTGTCTGTGCCGGGAACCCTTTGGTTCGTGGACCGCCGAATCACAGATCGTGAAGAGGGGGTTGACTGATTCTGACTTCGTTTATCGAAGTGAGAAATTGAAACGATATCTTATCGAAGTAAGATAGTCGTTCTTCTTAAAATCAAGTCAAAGCTTAATTTCAAGGCGTTGCAAGAAAACTCAAATCTGCTCTCTCTCTGCTCTGGAATGCTCTAACAAATGCTCGATCCTCGTCAGAAGTGACCCTAGGGGGGTATTTATAGCCTCAGGGGTCTACAACTGAAAAAACTCAACAAATGACGACATTAGTACGGCGAGACAGTGTTTACTGTCTCGCTGGGCGAGACAGCGTTTGCTGTCTCGACCCGCGAGACAGTAAATTTGCTGTCTCGCTCAGCGAGACAGTAAATGCTGTCTCGGAAAATGGCAGTTTCTCGCTGTAACTGTTCTTCCACGTTTCAAACTCCGTTATTTTGGCAGTTACCACGTGATTTTCGCCCACGATGTTCTCCACGTCCCCTGGCAGTTAATGGACACGTGGGTGGGAGTTATTTAAGGTGGTTTTGACCATTTCAACACTGTCTCGCTGGCGAGACAGCAAATACTGTCTCGCTGGCGAGACAGCAAATACTGTCTCGATGGCGAGACAGTTCATACTTGTTTTGATTTTTTCAAAACAGTATGAAATCCTTTCTTGTGAATTTTTGAGTGATCTTCTCTATGCTTGGGATATCTATTAGCATTTTTTGACGCCTACAAT